CAAACACTCCTACTGTTGATAGTTATCCCCCATGCAATAGTACAGTCTGGTTGATGATTACAGGATCAATGAACCAATGGCAATACATGTTAACAATAGTAGGGTCAATTTTCACACATTTTCTCAAAACCATCCCCCAGTCATCACCATTTTTATGAGCGGAAGGAAAACATGTATAAACCATTCTCAAATGGGTTTATGACTCATTTTACCATGTTTTACCCACCTGAGACTCCCCGTGACTCACCAATCGTACGAGGCACCCGAATGGGTTCCAGCAGTTCGGCTGGAGCAGCCTCAAAGGAACTGGCCTCGAAAACGACTCGTGGCTGGTTGAAACTGCTTGAAACTCACTGGTTTTCCATGGCAAAAACCATGGGAAAAAAACAACAAAGCATGGTAAGAACATGTAAGAACCATGGTAAAAACCATGAGAAAAACCATGACCAACATATTTCCGTGGTAGATTTCGTTACGTTTTGAGCATTTCAGAGGATGACTTCTACCCGGCTCACCACGGCGCGGTGCCTCTCTTCGTTGCGAGAACACTGGGCATGTGGATCGCTCCACCTTTAGCGGAATGGGAGACGTCTCTGAAATCGAGTACTTTTATACAAAAATACAAGAGCTGTACCCTGTGAGGGAGAAAAGTAACAGAGACTCTCGGAGATTCGCCACCGATTTGTAGGCTAGATGATTTATATAACATTTATATACTGTTTGATGGGTTGAAGGTTCCAATGCAACTGCAAAGTCGAGTACCCTCCGGTGTCATCAAACATGATGGATGTCCAGCAAGCCATGTTTGACAGCGGAAGATAGTCCATTTTGATCCGTGTTCCCCGTGTTCCTATGTCGTACGGAGAATTGGTACCCATTAAATACCTTGTCATACCATACAAAACCTGGACCTTTTCCTTTCGCAACATACCAAACAAAATCAAACAAGTATATACATTGCATTGGGGCTACACTGCTAGAATCAATATATGCATACGCATTTTACACATCTCTAGATACATTTACACAAGTATATTAACACAAACCTCTATATGTAGCCTATACGTGCATATCTAAATATATATATATATGATATGTGATTAATTAAATTATACATATAATAATATTATATATATATATGTATGCATACTTGTGGGTCAAAACCCTGCTAGCCTGTTGTTCACATCAACATTTTCAGATGTTCATCCTTTAAAAACATGCCAAAAACGGTGCCAACATGTGCCAACCACCGATGCCACCAAGTCCACATGATGGGTGGACTCAGGGGAACTGTCCTCAAGCACATCATCCAAAAAGGTGTTTTTCCTCATGACCACCGGGGCGCCCGGGGCGCCACAAGTTGCCAGGGGGGCATCTTTCGTCTGTGAAGTAGTACAAAATAGCGAGAAATGTTGAATCGGTTCTTTCAAATCAATTCGAAGTATTCCTTGTGTCGGTGAATTCTAAATATTCCTGATGTAAAGAACTTGGATTTGTGCAAACATGGATCCAGAAACCCAACAAGACAGTGGGATATGGCATGAACCAACAATCATGAGGCTCCGACATCTACAAATGATGTGGGTATAGCTTCGTTTGTATCCAGACCCTGGTAAGCTGGTCTTTACACCAGAATAGTTCGTAGTTATGGAATTATGGACGTTCATCCTTTGGACTGATATGGTCTCCGAGATCTTCATTCATGACTCATGACCATTTTCGTGATTTTCGGGGTTTTAGCCATCAAATAGGAGGTGAACTGTCCACTAAACAAGGGTAGCCTGCTGCAAAGTCCACAAAAGTGGAAGAGTTCCCGAGCTTGCCAGGTGTACTTCGGGGGTTCTGGGGGGTTTCATCCACACATACAGTTTGAATCAGTTGCATGTGATTTTGTGATACTGTGTATACTAGGGGAATATATTGAAGTCTAGTGCCGTATGCTGATTTTTTTCCACCACCAACCACCAACGGATTCCAAGCGTGAACCCCATACCCTATATAGGCCACGTGACACCTTGACTTCTTGACCCGCAACTGAGACAATGCCCTTTCGCAATGCCATCGGTCAAGGTGGGTGGCGACTTTCGCGTTGAAACGAGAGCTGTTTTAAACCCCCCCCGTATCAATTGATTTTTGAGGTTCAGCATGTTTTCGCTGCATTTGTGCAAGACTGTTTTTCGGCTTGAAAAAGTTTTGAAACGCAAAAGTTGTCTATGTTCGGAAATGTGGAATGAATTTGGCGACGCCCTCAAAAAACGCTGCAAGGTTGGGGGGTCTGGAGCCAGCAGCGAGTAGCATCGATAACTCACGGAGCGGTGGCTGATCATCCCATTTTCATGATGGAAAGAAAAAATGATCCGTAAGTTGGTCGTATGTTCTAATTATGGTTGGTTGATATCCCAGTATTCATCATGATTCATCATTATTCCAATTACTGTATCTTCTGGGTTTTGTTAGTGTTTCAATCTGTTTCTCTAGCTTGAAATAAGGCCTCGAATCATTCCAGTGACATCGCAGTGAGGTCGCTATTAATAGAAAAACATATCCCAACTATCCAACTATCATAGTCCAACTATATTCCCATATTGTGTGCTTAAAACACAACAAACATTACCCTCTGTAATGTAACATCTGGCGATTGAACAGAGCTATTGGGAAAATGTAGGCCGTCCGGCGTTGCTTCAAACTTGAAGACTGATCTCCCCGTGGTTTTTTTGCAGTTGAAAGCGCCAATGTTCATGAAGTTTTCATTTGGTGAATTATTGGATGGTGAAAAAATTGATGGTACCCAAAGTTGAATCATGCAATTTAACCATCCAATTTATGGTTTATTGCGGCTGGTTTAATCATGTGCCATGGCTTGACTCCGTAGATCTCATGAATTTCCATCGTCGCAAAGGTGACTCGGATAAATCGGAATTAAAAAAAAAGCGTTGGTTCGACGGGTTCTAAAATGTTAACTTCTAGTGGTTATGATTGGTGATGTATAAATATGTATAAATGACCACTATCATCATATGTCACCCCAAAAAAAATACCTAATAGATCATATGTCCCAACAAATACCTAATAGGCATGGCTGTTTCCCCGCCATTCCCACATCGCTCGCCCTCCTTCGCAAGCGCCTCCGTTGGTAATGGTGAAGGTGTTGCCAGTGATATCATCCATGGCTGGCGAGCGAGCGAAAGTAAGACAAAGGCCACTGGGCTTGTCTGGAAATGGTTAGTTGTCTGGTTATAATATACTAAGAACTCATAATATACTAGCAATATACTGCTAGATACTGCTAGTAGATTATTAGTTCTTAGTATATATATATATATTGCTAGTAATTATATTGTTCGTATACGGGTATTGTTAGTACACCCCCCGATGTATTCGATGGCACTTGACCTAGGGAAGATGAGGTTGTAAAGCATGAGATTTTCCAACCAACTGGATCGCATGACAGGACAAAAATGGTCCACCAATCCAAACTAGGGCACATGGAATCCACTTATTCCTGTCATGATATTTTCCAACAAACTGGATTGCATTCAAGAAATCAGTGGAAGAATCTAACCAAACTGGGGCACATGTGCGATGTTGATCAAGGATCATCTACGTTACTGAAACTGTTTCTGAGCAAAGAATATGGATAGTGGGTAGTGAGAATGCCGAGAATAAAATACGGGATGTCAAGTGAATCAAGTGAGCAACGTCAAAAACCTGTTTGCGAACAGGTTCTGCTGGTTTGTTTAAAGCTATCTGGTGGATCGTAGTGATCCCTTTTCAGTGGGTTAGTAGGGCCTCAATACTAACAATAATGGGAGTTGGACATCGCTCAAGTAACAAGTCATGGGATTTCTGGTGGCTGAGATCTTTCAGAGTCCTGGTCCTCTTGCGCCATCAACCCAAGCATCAGCCCAGGGGCCCCCTCACTCATAAATTGGTGCTAGTCATGGGGGTACCCCCAATAACTGGATGCTTTATTTCATGAAAAACATCTATAAAATTCTACAAATGGATGATTTGGGGGTACTCCAATGACTTAGGAAACCTCCATAATCCTCCATAATCATACCCCCAAAACCCCCAGCCAAACAGCTATTGAATTCTTCCAACCTCGTCATTCCGGGGGCGATCAACCCCAGTTCACCGAACAACTGAACACCGAGCGACTCAACTTGTCTTGCTTCGCGAGGTTGGCGAACTTGGCAAATTCTGACTCGACCTGGAGATGTCTACCTCGCTACCTATCCACATGTAGGCGACATAATGTATATGATTGTATATGTATGTATGTAATTTAATGTTATGCAATGCAATGTAATTAGTAATGTATGTACAATTGTGTACATATTGAAATCTAAAGTATCTACACCATTCTACACTGTACACCATTTCTGTCCATGCAACATATCCAACCCTCTCAGTTGCTGCCCACAACGCCCCAACTGAACACCGTCCCAAGTCGCTGCGAGGTTTCGTTGGGATCACACCCCCAAAATTGGTCAATTCCCCATGTTCCGCCCCCAAAAGACAGCCGCCTCAGCCAGGTTCTTGGATTCTAAGTTTTTGATCACTGGCGTCACCAAGCCCTGCGCAGAGGAGTTTTTGTTAAATCCCCCCAAAAAAAGGTGCAGAAAAAGGTTTGTTTGACCTACTCAGATTGACCTATTGAATTTTAGCATTGGATTGGATTCTATTTGTTCTATCTTTTTGAGTGTTGCTCTACTGAATGCTTTCGAATGGATTGGCTTGAAGAATAACACACCGAGCTCCCCAGTGAGTTATTTTGGAAACCTTTTGAACCAGGGGCAACCCTGAGAAATAGCTCTGCTGATTGATTCATTGCTGATTGATGATTGATTCATCCACTTGATTAGATATCTACTGATCAAAATCTAGAAGGTACCTCAAACACAGGCTTTAGAACCTCGTTTTGCCTCTCAAACGGCTATAAAAAAAATCTCAGGTAGTCGCATGGAACCACCACCAGCTGCGCTTGGCGTACGCTTTTAGCGCACCTTGGGCGTCGCCGCTGCAAAGCCGATATTGATGTAGTCCCTGTAGACGATCTCATTGGTCCTACAGATGGCCCTGGGAAGATGGATACCATGGCTGTGAAGAAATGGACCATTTACTTTTTGATAGATCTGTTTCATGGATTTTCATGGTGGTTAATTCATTTGGTTATCTTTGAAGGATAATTCTGGAAACTCCCCCATACATCTCATTTCTGACCGGGAAAAGCCATATGGATTTCCATGGCGCCATTGGGCCAAGCGACGAATTGTCGATGTAGGCGTTCAGTGCCGGGATCTGCTTCAATGCATAAGCACTGGCCTGAGGTGCTGGGTTTTTCGTTGACCCAATGACCCCATCTTGCGGGTAAAAAATGATGTTTCATGGAAAATAGACAGTTACCAATGAGAATATCGTGGGAATTACCAGGTATAACTTTACCAGAACATGAAGCCTTAGGCCCGCAATGGCCCGCATGATATCTTCGATGTCTAGGATGTTGATGTTCAAAAAGCAAGATTCTCTAGCGGTGAACCTTGAAAATGCATTTGACTTACCCTCTGGTAAACTAACATAGCTATTGAAAATTGTCATTTATAGTTGATTTTCCCATTAAAAAAATGGTGATGTTCAATGGCTATGCTAGTTTACCAGGGGGTATATTCAATATTTCATGAAAATTGCCCAAATAGATGGAAAGTTGTGGTTCCCCGGTTCCCCATCACATACCCAAGATGTGGTCCGCTCCTCAAAAAAAACCATCAATTTAGCTGGTTAGTACTGTAGAAATCCTCTCTTACCTTTTTGAAAATAGTGTACCATTTGGTAGCCATCTGGTTGACCGCACCAAGCAACTGGACCATTTGATGGTGAAATCTCCACTGTTCAACAATTGAAGAGCTTAAAACACATTTTTTTCTTAAGGTGAAACCATGCGGTTACCATCTTAAACCATGTCAAACCATCTTAAACCATCTTAAACCATGTTAAACCATCTCAAACATCATCTTTTGTTGACTTTCCCTAGTCGGTGGACCCTTCCCACGTCTCACCCGAGTCCCAGCTGGACTCTGAGTCTCCCCAACCAGAAAGAACGGCGACTGGAAGCCCAGCTTAGCGCCGTGAGACGCTTGGAAGATATCCTTGTATTCCTGGTGGGAAAGGCAGGGCATCTGCAGAATCCCCGGCAAGACGGTTGGAAAATCTTAACGAGCCTCTGGCAGCTATGGGAAGATCCAGGAAAATAATTCAACTCAATGGAGATGTCTCTGATTTTACAGAGTTCGGAGCTGGTGGCAGCTGAACATGCCAATCTCTGGCCGCAACGAGTGATTTCTTTCAGCTGCTAGAAATATCCCCATGTGGATGGCAAAAGATTAAGTGGTGATAAGTGGTGTAAGTTCTACTATCCAAGGCGTCCCCGGAATTTCAGGCTGCCAAAATGCTGTACCTTGTGGTAATTGAAAATTGCCATTGAAAATGGCCATTTATAGTGGATTTACCCATTAAACATGGTGATTTCCAATAGCCTTGGACAATCTTAGGACTTGACGAAGCATCCCAGTCTGGAAGTCGCCATCAAGTCCCCCAGTGTTCCCATCTACGGCATAGTCCCAACTGGCTTACCACTCATAACTGGTTACAAAACAGGTTACCAACTGGGAAGGTCACCAGCTTCCAGCTCCCATCCTTTCGCATCTTGATGAGACCGCTCATGTCCACTTCTTGAAACGTCGTCAGCATCGCCTCAAACACTTTTGGAGTCTTCGACTGTTGGCGAAAAAACACATATACTTACTAGTCAAGGCGAAGAAAATCTCATTTACAGGTATGGGGTGGCAACTCAATTGTACTTACAGTCGCCTTCAGTAATTTTATATATATATATCTATATACAAGCATGTATGCAGCTATAACATATCATCTGTATACTACGTATGTATGTATATGCCAGCGGTCCGAAAACCGTGCTCGTAAAACTAAGGTTTTTGAGAACGTGCAACTACGTCACTAACTTCTTAATCTTTATGAACAACTTCCAAGTACATCAGAGAAATTCTCTAACCACTTGCATGGGATGATGGGGTGGTGTGGGGTGGGCTATTAACGTCTTTTCTACTAACAACGTCCAACTACGTTGCTAACTTTTCTAGCAACTTGCATGGGACTCCATCAACTTCCAACTACGTTAGCAACTCTTGTAACACTTGCAAATAGGAGGTTATCTTCTGTATCAACTTCCAACTACGGTAGGGGCTCTTGAAACACAACTTGCAACTACGTTCTTATCTTCTCTATCAACTTCCAACTGCGTTGTTATCGACTCCTATTAGACAACTTGCAACTGTACGCCAGGTCTTGGCAATGGAGGTACATAAACCGCAGTGCCAACTTGCAGCAGAAGACAATTGAAGCATTGAAACGCATTTTCTGACCGAAAAAAATGCTATTTTTCAGACTTCACAAAAACCCTCCGATGAAAATGAGCTGGTACTATGGTAAAACGCGAAAACCCCCCAAATTTAGGTATCCATTTTTTGGAGGGTTGTCAGAAACAAAATTCGCGTTTTGCCACAGTGCCAAGCTCATTAAAAAAAACAAAAACGTGCTTTTACGAGCACGGTTTCCGGTCCGCCGGGATGTATATCTTGCGATATAACATGATATAACATGATATAACCATATAAACCCATTCACTTCAGAAGCCAGCCTTTTCGGAAGTGGAAGCGAGGTCAACCAGTGAGGGCGTTTTGTTGCGCGCCGCTACTGAAATGTATCATTGGAAGCTATCTCATGATCGTAATATATTTAGGATACCACCTATTTTTGGTAAAATACTCTGCCATAATCTTGCTGACTAATGACTTTCCAGATTGCCGGTCATGTTAGGGCTCTGAAGCGCTTGCCGTGTCCGATGGTGGCCAGATGACAGAGTTGGTTCTTAGAGATAATCTCACCTGCTGTAGGATTGCAAAGATCTCTTGGATCTGTTACATGGAGGGAAATGAATGGCAATAGAAATGTTCCTATGGTGAGTGCAAATTGCATCAAATTGCAATGTTTGCCAAGCAGTTTCTTGTCCTAGCTGGGATGTTGCTAGTTACAATAATTATAACCCTACAGTGGTGTTTATCACATCTGACTGAAAACGAGTTTTTGTTGTGGGTTGAGTAGCCCGTTCAAAGAAACGTCTTAGGGTGTCTGGCATTCAACCTTCACCACCGACATGTTGGGGAGGATGATACAGTAACGAAAAAATCCATGGCTGTTGGTCATCCAAAAGTTCGCATCAAAAAATTGCCAATTTGGGGATCGTTTGTTTTTTCTCTCCCATGTGGGGACAAACCCATGGTTTTTTGGTGGCTCTAAATCCCATGAAAAATTCCCATCATATCCCAGTGAGATTTTTATATCTTGCCTTAAATTGTTCACATAAAATCGCCATGTGATCCATTTTTGCTGCTGAACCTTTTTTTTGCAAACAGACAATGCCTTGCACATCACAACATGCACGCCTCACTCCTCCGGAAATTCCAATCAGGTGTCCAAGCCCTAGAGGATACACGTGAAATGGTACCCCCAATAGCTGGAGGATCTTTCCAATTCAAAATCCATCAATGGATGAGAAGTGGGGGTAACCCCCAGCACTTAGGAAACCTCCAAGTCTAATTGTCCATTAATCACCAAGATTAACCATGAATCAGTCATCAGTATTAACCATGACTATGAGTCCATGAGTCACCAATATTCACCATTAACCATTGTTTCATCCGAATGAGTAAGACGCTTAACCATGATTCACCAATATTCAGGATTATCAATTATTAACCAATATTTTGCCATTATTAACCATTATTAACCATTATTAACCATTATTAACTATTATTAACCATTATTAACCATTATTAACCATTATTAACCATTATTAACCATTACTAACCATTATTAACCATTATTAACCATGATTTCCACATGTTAACCAGATAAATCTTGATGCTTTCGACCGAGGTGCCAATGTGTTCTGGGATTCCTTCAGATTCCGGGCAATAGCTTGGCGCATTCCTGGAACGAAACAAGGGGGGGGTTGAAAATTTAAGAGGAAGCCACCGAAATTTAGGAGGTACATATCACATTAATTCACAGTACCCAGTACAGTACATATCAATGATATTTAATGAAATTACCAATGAATATCACCAAATGTCTTCAAAATGGCCATAATTTTTGGTGGTAGACCTCATTTTCTTTGTCGTATGACAGCCTTTTGCGCCACCCATCCGTGGGTTCGTCCAAGGCGTATCATTGCCCCAAGATCTTCAAACACCATCGGAATGGGGTGTTCCCGATATGTTTCATATATTTCCATAGATTTCCAGCATCTTTGTGCTTGTTCCATCTTTTTCCACTATACATCTTTGCGGTTTTCCCAAGCTTTTCCCACATGTTTCGATGATGGATCCGTCTCAAACGATACAGCCCAGCCCACGACTCCCTCGCCGAGCATCGTGTCATCTTCTCTCTTCGCTCACCGCGCTCGGGCGAGGAGGGGGGTGAGGCGGTCGACGCCTGATTCAGGGATCCAAAGGGACGGAAGGGACGGGTTGATCGATGGGATTTTTTGTGGTTGGTAAACCTTATCCGAATGATGATCCCCCAGGTATAGAAACAACACCCAGGTATAGAAACAACACTCTTACTGTTACTAGTAATGGGGCAAAAAACACCGCAAATCAGCCATGGTATAGCTACAGTGCTTGGTAAATTCGCTAAAAAAGTGCCATGGTCAAAACATGCTGTATGTTGAACGATCACCCAATTGGAATCCTGGAATCCTTCGCAGCCATTGTGCCTGACTGGCGGGTTTCGCTTCAGCCTGGCAACAGCCAACCCTCAAGCTGCCCGAAGCGTGCTTATCCTGTGGTAATTCAACACCAGATAGCTTTTACCTATGCCAAACCCATTGGTTTTTGTGGGAAACCAATTATTATTTGTTCTCCAGATGATTTTGTGCAGAAACCATGGCAATGGTACTTAACCCTTCATGACTCACTGCGATGCCACGAGCAGAGGCAGATCTGCTGCGGATTCCACAAAGATCAACGAGAAAACATCTATTAAAATATGTGATCCTTTGCTACACCCACAAACAGTATCCAACCAGATTCACCTAACAACTCCTGTAACTAGGGTTTCGGAAAGATTATTGTTTATGTTCATGAACCAAGAACAGAAAACATAGAAAACGAAATAAGGGGGCAAAACAATGTGTGTATGGTGTGTTTGCATTTGTGCTGCTGTACTTTCATTTAACATGAAACCATATGAAACCAAGACTTTGCAGAGGAGTCCACTGCACTAGCACAGGTAGAGTTTCGAAACATGTATATGTGTATATTATATATATGTGTGTGTGTGCGCAAACAATCCCAAACATTGTTGAGCAAAAAAAACATGTTTTTGAGAAAAATAAAATGTTTTGAGAAAGACATGTGCTTATCCAACATGTGCGCTCGTGCTCCTGTACCTTGTAGCCTTAAAGAAAACACCTCAAACATCTACAAACACTACAACAACAACAGTCATCAACATGAAAGATCATCAACATGAATGATATGAAAGATCATGAAAGTATCGTAAAGTATCCAGAAAAACACCACCTCCGGCCTTCGGCGCTGGCTTGGGCGCCGGCTTCGCCGGCGCGGCCGCCGGAGCCGCCGCCGGCGCGGCCTCCGGCGCCGCGGCCGGCGCCTCGGCCGCAACGCCGCCCTCGCCGGGAGGGCCGAGAACTGCCAGGACTTGTCCCACCTCACAAGTCTCGTCGGCCTGAGCGCAAAGAATAGGAGAATGATGAGAATGTGAGAACAAAAGATGATTCGAATGGTGATTCGAATGACTACCCCATTAAATGTAAGGCGGTTGATCAAAATTTATCTGCGAACGGCCATTGTCGGCGAATTAAAAGTTTACTTTCGCGAATACTTCGCGAACCCCGCGGTTGTTTTCCTTTCGCCTGGGTCTCATGTTAAAATATGTCTCTAAATCTTTGGCCAAAAAAATAACTCTCGCGAACTCAGACAAATTTTCGCGGCGTCTCATGTTGGAACCTTGCGGCTTTTGTAATGCACAATCTCTACATGGACCTTTAGATCGACGATCATATATATATATGCATATTGTAAATTATATATATATATTATATGTGTATGTATGTATGTATGTATGTATGTATGTATGTATGTATGTATGTATGTATGTATGTATGTATGTATGTATGTATGTATGTATGTATGTATGTATGTATGTATGTATGTATGTATGTATGTATGTATGTATGTATGTATGTATGTATGTATGTATGTATGTATGTATGTATGTATGTATGTATATATCTGGGGTAGAGGCTGGGCCCGGAAGGCAATTGAAATTCATTGTGTTCCATTTTGAAAAAATGTCATTGTTCACTTTGTTTTACAGTGTTTTGTGTTCTTCCTATAACGTGAGAATATCAGGAATTAGTTCAACATGCGGACAACATATCTGGATACGTTGTCCGCTGTTTCAATGTTTATTTGTCTTTGTCAAGTTCATCAACTTATATCGTGTTTGCTTTTCCCATAGGAATTGAGTGTTTTTTGGAATTTCAGGTTTCTTTTGATAGACGTAAAAATGTCATAATCCACCAGAGAATCATGGGCAAAATGCACATGGGCCTTTTTTCTCTTCACATCCACAAAGCCGTTTTGAAAGCATTCATAGGTGCACACGCCCCGTTCACTTTGTGTCGGTGGCATTTTAATGCTTCTAGCACTGATTGAAGACCTGGCTTTCTGTGCACGTAAAAAGCTGACATGTTTTTACGATGTTCCAACTTGTCGGTAGGTCCACCGAGTTGTCCCATTCTTCTCAATTGGGCTTTACCTATCTTCACTAAACTTTCGGCGACAACATTTTCAACATAACAACAGCTTCAACGTAACAACATCTTCTTATGACGCAATGCAATGAACGTTAACATCCCACCCCACCCCACCTCCCCATCTGTATGCAACACCGACCTTCAACGTAACAACATCTTCTTATGACGCAATGCAATGAACGTTAACATCACCCCTCCCACCCCCCCTATCTGTATGCAACACCGATCTTCAACGTAACAATATCTTCTTATGACGCAATGCAATGAACGTTAACATCACCCCTCCCACCCCCTCTATCTGTATGCAACACCGATCTTCAACGTAACAACATCTTCTTATGACGCAATGCAATGAACGTTAACATCACCCCTCTCAGCCCCCCATCTGTATGCAAGAACGAGAAAATATGCATATATCTGTCAGAGAGAGACTGAAGGTTCCTACGTCTTCCGGGAACCCCCGGCCTCTCCCCTAGATATGTATATACGTAATGTATATATATATATATATACATATATTATGTGACTCTAATTATTCTATATTGTAACGTTATTATCTATTATTATTACTATTATATATACTCCATACTCTATACATATAAGATCATATAAGACAGATTGACGCAGTATGTTGAATCCCGCTGAAAAGGTTGTATATCGTGCCCAAAACAAGCGGACAAGCAGAAAAGCTGAAAGTCATCATGAATAATTATATATCAAAATGTGGTGGCTCCTGGTGAACACTAAAATAGCTGCTAAATGGATGTTCATCATCCCCCAATTATGGTATTGTAGCTTTTGACTCCTCCCCTTTTTTCAACATCAGCTCACACATTTGATGAGTCCCAGCACCGGGGATCTGCCCCCGCCTGCAGTTTGATCTCTAACAACTGACCATCTTGTGGTGCCTTCACGTCCACTGTGACCTGTTCACAGGGGAATTTTCGGGTGAATCGGCCAAAAAAAATTAAAAAATGAAAGTTGCAAATGATGACCCACGGGATGGAAAGATAAAATGTCAACCCACCAAGCAGTTTGATATTTCGCCAACCAAATTTTCCCCAGAAAGTATCTGCTCCTGAAACCGGGGCTCCGTCATGCCTTGTCGGTCTCAATGGTGGCAATCACTTGGTCCTTCTTGACATTCTCTCCCACCTGTCAAACTTTACACACGACCCCTGCAGTAGGTTGTTTGACCAAAATCCATCAAGGATGTGGCTGTTTCCTGCAAACTTTCCCTTCAACGAATTCTCAGATAAACCTATGTGCCAGCATGCTCGTATAAAACATGAAAGTGATGTCCAAAATGTAACATGTTTCTCAGAAAACGAGACCAGCTAGTCGGTCTTGGAGCCACCTGTCCCAGCGATTTTTTGTTCAATCATCCCATTGTGTACTCATAGACCATGTGTTTCTTTTTTCTCTTCAACGAAGTGCAAATCGCTGGCTTCACCCCCATTCTTTGTTTTTGACACCGAAAAAACGTAACTGGACTTCGCTAATTCTTCAATCCGCCAGCCTTAGACCTGGCCTCAACCTTAAACAAACTCTCAAGATCTCTCAAGGTCGTCATGGTCCCAGGGTCCCACTCGGTCCCAAAACGGCCCCTGCGAACAGTCGCAACGCAGTCGCCTTCGCGGTCCATTCCGCAATGGTGCCCTCTGTGATGCTCTCCCCCCCAAGTTCTGGGGTTGGCACATCGACCTCAAAGGGTCCATGGGATCCACAACAGAAATTGGGATTGGCCCAACAAAAAGTGTAGTCCTGCAACTGGCTTTGTCCGATTTTTTGGGGTACCACAAACTCCAGTTCTTGATTCTCATTGTCCGCATTAAAATGCAATTTTAGGGGGCCCACCATGTTCAGACAAAACCAAATAAGCACCTTTGAAGGTTTCTGGATCAATGAATAACCCATTTTGGAAGCAGGAAGAAGAAACCTTTCAATTCAAGACCCAAGTTCAAGCATCCTGTCGAAAAAGGCGTATTGTAATATACATTTAGATACTACGTACTATATATATATTATTGTTATTATTATTATTATTGTTATTATTATTATTTATCATTGGTAGTATTATTATTACTATTATTATATAATATAATATATATAATATAATATAATATAATATAATATAATATATATATATAACATAATATACTATAATATAATATATATAATATATATATGTACTAATATATACATATATATATTATTATATTATATATATACATATATCGCATATATTATACCCGCATATCATTCGATAGAGATGTAGATATAGATGATTGTAGATGTCTATGTGAGTTGATTTGACTCACCTAGCTACGGCAGAATCGACCCCCGTAGGCCTTGCTGAAAAAACGAAGACCCAAACGTTGCACAGGAGCAACGGAGCCTGCGCCAGTCAACTTTCATCCCGCCTCCAATCATCGATGTATATAAATACCCCTAAAGAAAGGATCCCTAAATGAATGAATGCAGTACTAAAATAGTATACTAAAGCAGAATTTTGAAGGTATATGATACTAGGGGGAAGGGATTACTTCCAAAAGAAGCAACGTTGGTAGGGCAACCTTGAGGTTTAACACGCTGCTGCCACGAGTACCAAAGTTCATCAATCTGTGGCATGTTCTTGGATAGCAAAGTGCCTGTGTCTCAAATCAGCAGCACCTTTCTTCATTCTCACCCAACAATCATTGGGAAAAATGGTGATTTACCCAGGAATAAACGGATTATATGGATTATGATGTGTTCATCTATGTACTAAATTCTTTCTGGCCAAATTGTTGTAATTCACCAACCTGAAATTGTCAGCCATTTTCAGGTTTCATCCCAGGCCACTCCAAATGGAAGGGGCAAAATGTCTGGTTATCCCATTGTAGACATGGTATGGTGATGACTGGGGGATGGTGCAAATGGCATTGTTTTCCCACATGAAAAATATAGCTCTGGTTATTAGGGGAACTTTAGTTATAATAGTTATGGTTATGAACTATTAACTTATTAACTATGGTTATATCCCAAGGTTTTATTTCCATTCATCCCCAGTGCACATCCACCTCCACGCAGCGGTCTCGCCTTGGGAACATGGGCTTTCCAAATAGGTGGCCCAGGTATCAGTAGGTTTTGGAAAATCATTGAATAAATATTCTTATGCATGTTTTTGATCATTGATTTTTCTTTATATTTTATTTTGGATGACCCCGTACCAACCAACATATATTCTAGATTTTTTTTCTGACACAAATAGCTGACATATAGTCTATAAAAAATATCTCTTAAATTTGAATGCAGATTACCACCACTTACTCAGCCAATGCCTAGACTTTTAACTTTTTCCTTGGGTCTGCGCACGCGTGCCCCTAAGTACCCCGAAACAAGCTTGTTGTGGCGCACGCGCGCGGACCCAATGAAAAGGGTTTTAACTGTTTTCTAGGAGATCACTCATTGAGTAAGACCAACTGACATATATTCTGACATTTTTTCTGACACAAAAAAAACTTACATACATACTGACGTGTTATTTCTTAAATTCTAATGTGGAGTACCACCATCTACCACCAACTGACATATATTATTTTACCTCTTGATTGTTTTATGTAGTTTAAACAGTTATTCTTCTTAGGGTAAACATGGAAAATCTATATATATATAATCAATTTCGAATTGAATGTGATTCGTTCTAATCTTCGTTGCGAGGCATGTCTTAGTCAGTGGCAACACTTGATGAATTGTCTTAGTGGAAAGTATTTTGGGAGGGCGGCTGAGTAAAGATGTGGTACCTTTGTGTTTTTAAGAGGAAATTGTGTTTTTATTAAAACGTTTTATTGGATTAGACTAGATGTTCTGTGAAACCTTTTCAAAAAATACATTTTGTCAAATGCCAGTAGCACTGAGAGTGGTATTTATTTTGTTTCCTGTCTGCAACATTGCTGCCCCTGTAAGCTTCTCTTCTGGTGAAGAGCCTTTAACTTGTACCCATCATTAATTCATGAAGAACCTACATCCGTCGTAATCCATCCTATTCCCCATTTCTGCTTGATAGCCTTATACCGATCACCCATCATACTCTCCTTTCTTCTGGCTCACCATGCCACTAAACCACCCCGGTTCACTAAAGTTCTTTATATATATACATATATTTATGCATTGTATTGTAGTATAAGATCTTCCATAAACCAGAGTTAAGCTATAACATGCTATAACCCAACCCCAGGAGATCACGAAACCTCTCAGATTCAGGAGACTTGCGGGCCAAAATTGGGGGACATCCTGCGTTCCAAAATGGTCAACAAATGTCAGCAATTCCCCAATGGTCAAATTAGCTGGCGAAAACATAGCCTATGGTTGATGATCGGGATTCGACGGCTTTACCACATTACCAGGTGCCTCGGTGATCCTCTAACTGTCAGTGATTGGGCTCGGCTATGCGACTATGCTCCGCACCACCCAGTTGCGCCGCTCCAGTGCCAAGCCTGAAACAGAGGGGGTTGGTGCCTCGAAATTGAGTAGAACTTACCAAGTTTGATCACAAACTCCAGACAAATCATGACACATAATATGAACAATTAGCAGAAAAACTCCAATTCATGGCAGCACTGCGCCTGCGTAACTTCTAGCTGTCAACAGCCTGGGTAAGCCTCAGTGATCAACTCAGATTAGGCGATTGACGGTAGTCATGTTTGAGCTGTCCCACGTCTCTACGTATATGTGTTGTGGCTCGTATATTCCCATGATTCTGGTTGGGATTCTGGACTGTTTGGGATATGAAATATGTGGTTTTCATTTCCCAAATATGGGAATATGGATTCTGGTTGGTCCATATTAGTCCATATCCCAAATATTTCAGGCCAACTTCACCTCCAACGACCTAAGAAGCAACGAGGTCACCCGGAATTCTCAAAGAAGTGATTGATGAATGGTCACCATGGGGGCTGAAAACTTGGAAACCCCCCAAATCTCATGGCTGATCATTATCTTTCCGACCAATCATTCCCAATCCAAGTCTGACATCAAATGACCATTTTCTATGGGCTATTCCCCTAGGATCCGAACGCACCCAGGCACGTCGCAGACTGGACATGGTCGCCTGGATCGAGAGCCACTGATTTGGGGTTTCTTAAATGGGGAATCCCCAAATCCATGGGTGTCAAACTTAAATGGTCTAATGACTTCGATGATTTGGGTAGCCTCATTTTAGGAAACCTCCACATGGCAGGCTTTCACTGCTTTCACCAGGTGTGTTTTCTTTATGGGGTGGGATATTTCCCAGAAAAATGTGAAAAAAAATACAGCTTTTCGCGAACAGATCTGGGGATGACGAATATAATGATTAAAGGCAACCCCAAAAACTGATGAATTCACCAACCCATACTTACAGTAGGGGTTATGCGGGTCGCTTTGGGGAAACGAGCGCCTCAAAAAGTTGGATCCAAAATGCAACCTCATTCCTCCATATTCTGGCGAACCGATCGTTCAGAAACGCATGCATCTGCAATAAAAATCCCCAGTGCTTTGCTGCAACCATGCCTAAAACACATTTAGATCCAGCAAAGTCCAGTCGAGCAGTAAATCCACACGGTGGGGGCCTGGTGGTTTTGGGGATCCCCAACATGGGTTGCTTATGTTGAGCATGAAGCAAACCTGAAACGCGTTCACACATCGTGAACGTCAACTGATGCTTCGGCCTGACTGTGCCGCGCCCCTGCAAACATTGAGCCGGACGCGGTTTCCTTCCTGGAGCCATAATATATACATGTGTATATATATATATACATAGAGGGGCCGTTACTAGCGCCGTGACCCAACGGTTAGTTGATGTGAATCAGAAAAATGTCAAGCACCACAGCAGACCACAGCACCAAAAAAAAATGGCTAAGGAATCTCTTTGTTGCCATACGTTGCCATTAAAAATGAGGATATCATGGATAAATGGTGGCTGGTGAAAATTGGTTCTTCCAGAGGGGACAAAAATATCCTGAGATTGTGAGCCCACCGAATCCCATCCACCTTATATGTATAGATCCCCTACTAAACCATGGGTCATGGTGCTTATGGATGGGATTCATTGGATAGGATAGGGGTGTTTTTCATGGCTCAAAGACTTGGGGTCTCAAAGATGTCCAGGCACTGACTTGAAGAATGGCAATTGCCACAGTTTTTGCTTCGTTCATCCTTGGTCCTTGATGTTCTCCCTATCCTTCCAAGATTTCTGTAAAAACAATGCCATGTCCACCAGTTGAATGATCTTAACCATTCTTAACCCCCCATATTTCAGTCTTTGGTACCTCGGACTTGATCCCATCGCAATTTTTTTTCGGGAGATGCCTTGGGAATCCCACCACGGTGAGACGAGCCATCGATTTCGAGGGCCTTGATTTCTTGTATTTTTATGCCTGGGAGTCGCCACTGAGATGCTGATGATCCCAATGTGAGGCGCTAAATCTGTCCTGCTGGTGGTGAGGAAGGATGAAGAGTACATTCCCCAAGGGCAAGATTAGATAAATTCCTTTCAATGGCCCCAAAAATAAATGGAAGCAACGATGAAGAAGGTCTCTCTGGGGGTTGTTTCATATGTGTATATGACTCATATATATATATATATAGTTGTGGGAGGGATTACTACTGAACATTTGTGTGTGCTAAGAAGAAGGATACTGGACTTGTTAATTTGGACCGTCATCAGTCCCAGGGTCTTTATGAAGAGCAATTTTTGGCCCACCAATATTTTGATTTTAAGACAAGAATTCCATTGCAACTAGCATTAACCTACGCTTGCTTGATCTTTGTTGGCGGTCAATGTTGGACCCACTACATTCCCAGTGGCTATAAATCCTAGGAAGTTGCTGTTGCGTACTTCGCATTTTCTGTGTCGACTCCCATCACTGCTTCGCTTCGCTTTGACCGCAAGACCTCAGACCATGCATCGCCCGGTCCCAGGGGCACTTCCAAAAATATCTTTTATGAACTTTCTCAAGTTCTGAGCCCAGCGCATCAGGCACCAACCACAGGCACCCCAGGCCCAGCCCCGGCCGCGGCTGGTGCAGGTGTGGCCGCGGCAGCTGCAGGCACCGCGACAGGGGTGGCCGCCACGGTCACTGGGTTTGCTGTGCTGGGCCCCGCCATGGGAGTTGTGCCGCTGGTTGCACCTGCCACACCTGCCGCACCTGAATCACCTGCAACACCTGCCACAGATTCAGAGTTGCGGCAGAAAGGGTGGTAAATTGCAGCAAAGTGCTGAGAAAATGTGTGAAAATCACTGTGGCTCAATGAACATGATAAGACTTGTTCTGTGGTTTCCAACATTTCCATGAAGTTTGTGGCTATATGTGGCTATCATATGTTATCATCACTTTCCACAAATTTCAGCCGGGTCCCTTCCCCTCAGTTTTGTGATCACCACACGTGCCTCTGCTGGGTTCGGGTGTCACCAGCTGGCACAAAGGGGCAGCTGTGGATGGATCAGGGCAAGGGCTGGACTGAACTGGGATTTCGATGACTTTGGGGTGATGAAAATCCTGCAACCACCGATGAATCGTCACCCACAGGAGTCCGGATATTGCAGTCGACACGCCACATGACACGGTGACCAAGCCGAACTGCCCATGCTCAGCATTGATGGTTTTTCACCACTGCCATTCAGAAATGTGTTTTCAAAACCACCCAAAGTGAGCCAGACCTGCTAAAGCTGTTCAGCAGCTTGATATTTGAAAGAGGACCAGACCAGTAAATTCCCACTTCAAAGCGAAGTTCTAGCTCCAACTAGATTTGCAACATGTTGCAGCTGCCTGTGGTGAATGAATCCGAACACCATGCCCTTTGTTCCAGAAACCTGTTTTAAAAAATCCTGCATTCCTAAAAAAATACTCCCAAAATAGATAGGAAAGCGACTTATCATCATTTTAGGATCTACCTTGTCTAATTGGGTTTGTCTGAAAATAGTGTACCCCTACACCCAATGGTTAATGATCATTATCCCTACTAAATGGCTATAATTGGGGGGTATACCCCATTTTCAGACATACCTAATTCTTTCTATCTTTTTGCGTGCCAAAATCATGTTCCAGGCCATTCTGGCTGAGAGTCCCACTGTGCCCACCGCAACTTGCTCTCTGGGCGGCCTCTGCGTCAGTGACATGGGTAAAATCGTCGAACTGAATGGGCCATTTTCCATAGGTCCATAGCTATGTTAGTTTACTGCAGGGTAAATCTGGCAAGTGAAAATCCTCAGATGTGATGGAGGTAGGAAAATCATCTACATCGGTAGGGGATCTGGAACTTCTTCTGCCGTTTTCGCCAGAAGTCCCAAATTGCCAAATTCGGTATGGCAATCCCGCAAAAAAATAGAAAAGCAACTGTTTTGTGTTACCTTTTTGGGTCTAAGAATTGCTGTTTTGGGGGTGCATCCTTCAAAAGTCCTTGTCACCTGGAAACCCATTCATGCGATTGCTGGGTAGCCAATTAAAGCCAATTGGATTGGGTCAAATACTAAGACCCGAGAGCTGCAAACGGACCATGTTCAGTACAAACAAGCCGTTCAACATCCTAATAGTCAAGAGGAACCCCCCCAAAAAAAATGCCAACCGTATTTCCAGAATGCTCGTTCGGTGATGTTTTCCCCATGTCCAGCTTTCCACGGTATTTTTGGCATGTCTTTTTCGGATGGTGCCACAAGGTCTCGATGTTCATCGACCCAATAGGAGCTTCTTTCGTGGTGACCAGTCCGGCCTCCCGCCACCCCGTTGCCCTCGGCCAGAACCATAGGACCTTGTTTCGCTACCGAGAATAACAGGAATGACCCGAGAATTGAAGATGAAATATGTATATACACGTATATATGATTACATAGATACACATATTACAATCATATTTATGCAATATGTATTTATATAGATATATATGTAGATTATATACATATACCATGTTAGATACATAATATGGGTATTCCCCTCCGGGGCCAACATTCGCACAAAGTTCCGTAAAGTGACAAAGTTCCATTGGGTGAGACAGGTAAACAAACATAGTTTCCAGAACCAAGGTTTGATGTAGAGATTGGAATCGTGGCAAAACAGGTTGCCGAAGCCTGGTTACCTATGGGACAGGTTACCAGGACTAGGGATGATCACCATCAACATTGGGGTTGATTTCCCCAATCCTCACCATCAGCGATTTTTGTAAACATATCTAATATATATATAAATATATATATATACAAATTATATATAAATATATTATATATTATTTTATTATATATTATATTATATTATAGTATATTATATTATATTATAGTATATTATATTATAGTATAGTATATTATAGTAAAGTATAGTATATTATATTATAGTATAGTATATTATAGCATATTATAGTATTTCATATTATATTATAGTATATTATAGTCTATTATATTATATTATAGTATATTATATTATAGTATATTATATTATATTATAGTATATTATATTATAGTATATTAAAGTATATTATGTTATAGTAAATTATATGATCGTATATTATATTATATTATTTTGTTTTTTAGTATAGTATATTATATTATATTATAGTGTAGTATATTATATTATATTATATTATAGTGTAGCACTTTATATTATATAATATTGTATTTTATTATAGTGTAGTATATTATATTATATTATATTATATTATATTATAGCATCTTATCTTATATTATATTATAGCATCTATTATATTATATTATATCATATGTTAAATTATATCATATATTAAAATATATCATATATAATATTATATTATACCATATATAATATTATAGCATATATTAAATCATATTACATATAATATCATATCATATTAAATTAAATATTATATTATATTATATTTTATATTATATTATATCATATATTAAATTATATCATATACCACACTATATCATATATTATACCATATATTATATTATACCATATATAATATTATACCATATATTATATCATATCATATTGAACTATACTATTTCATATATTATATATTATTATATATTGTATTATATTAAATTATTTTATATTATATCATCTATTAAATTATATCATCTATTATATTATATCATATATTTTATCATATCATTTATTATAGTGTATCATACATTATATCATACCATATATTATATTATATCATATATTATATTATACCATATATTATATTATATCATATATTATATTATACCATGTATTATACTATACCAAATATATTATTATATCATATATTTTATAGTATACCATATATTATATTATATCATTTATTATTTTATACCATATATTATATTATAACATATATTATACTATACCATGTATTATATTATACCATATATTATATTATATCATATATAATATTATACCATATATTATATTATACCATATATTATGTCATATCATATTAAATCATAGTATATCATCTATTATATTCTATTATATATTGTATTGTATTATATTATATATGACATATTATTTATAAACTGTTATATATAACATATTATATAACTATATAACATATTATATATAACATATTATATACCTATTACCTTACCATATCTATTTCAGATCTTCCCATCTCTGGATTTGGATCCCCATTCCGCCATGGTCAGGCGCCAGGCTGGCCATAGACCTGCGAGAAGTATGCCGGCGGCTTTAGCTCCACCTGCGGAAACTGGGTGAAACCGAGGAGCCTTTGCTCCATGGATGATGATAACTCTAGTGGGATTTAACATGATTTACCCTCTAATAAACTAACATAGCGAACTTGAAAATCACCATCTTTAATAGGTAAATCAACTGTAAATGGGACATTTTCAATAGCTATGTTAAATTGACAGAGGGTAACCACGAGTTTCGCCCATATGATTGAGAGTGAAATCACCGTGAGATTTTTTTTTGGTAGTGTCTCCGTTAAAAAAGAATCATGAGAGCTGGAGAAACCTCTCAACCGTCCCAAAAAAATATGACGCAAAAGAGAATCGTTTAACAATCACAACAAAAAACAAGGGTGCCGGCTGTCTCGCCGCCCCCAGAAGGGTCAACGAGTCATTTCTCTTTGTTTTTTTAAATTTGCTTCTCGCTGTGGTTTCGGAGTGATTCACTGTCTGTTTCACCTGAACCAGGGCTTCAAATTCACTCCGTTTTCCAAGGCTTTTTGTTCCTCTTTTTAAATGTACTAGTTTTTTCCATGTAAACTAAGGGGTTTTTTTAAGTTCCGAAAAAAAAACAGTTTATTTTTTTGATTTTATGCAGTAGATATACATATACACATATATATATATATTTATTTATTTATGTATCTATCATCTATCTATCTATCTATCTATTTATCTATCTATCTATCCATCTATCTATCTATATCCATGTGTTTGTACATCGAACGATCAATATTGTGATGTCAATGCGAGACAACGACAACATGTCGAATGATGAATCGGCTAGTTCTTTTCTGCGTCTCTAGCGCCACAGCGCTTCAGGCAACTCCTGCAGCACACTCGTTTTGAGAGCTGCATTGTAGCAAGGATACCACAGGAGATCTCTGCAGCGTAGCAACATGTAACGTGGCAAGCATTCCAGAGATCTCTGCAGCGTAGCAACATGTAACGTGGCAAGCATTCCAGAGATCTCTGCAGCGTAGCAACATGTAACGTGGCAAGCATTGCAGAGATCTCGGCAGCGTAGCAACATGTAACGTGGCAAGCATTCCAGAGATCTCTGCAGCGTAGCAACATGTAACGTGGCAAGCATTCCAGAGATCTCTGCAGCGTAGCAACATGTAACGTGGCAAGCATTCCAGAGATCTCGGGAGCGTAGTAATATGTACTGTACGCACTAGACAGAACGTTAACACCCCCACCCCACCCCACCCCAACATGTAACGTGGCAAGCATTCCAGAGATCTCGGGAGCGTAGTAATATGTACTGTACGCACTAGACAGAAACGTTAACACCCCCACCCCCACCCCACCCCACCCCCCCACCCCACCCCCCACCCCACCCCAACATAACCCCCACGTCCCATTAGCAAAAATGTGCGTTTTATGAGCACGGTTTTCGATCCGTAGGCAGAAATAACAACCCTCGTGGGGGCGGCGAGTCAGCCGCCTAACAAAAACAACAAACACCCAAGAATGTGGAAGAAAAAGCAGCCTCCCCGCAACTAACACTAGACCGCCATAGAGGGTTGGAAGACTACCTTCCTAGGGATGAGTGGTGTCCATGGAATCGTTGGGATTTTGGTATTCCATTCCAGCAAAAAAATATCCATCTACATATCCATCTACATATAGTAAGTAACCAGAAGTTATAGTAAGTAACCAGCAGTTACAGTAGGTAACCAGCTTTTTTTTCTATCTGCTGGTTACTTACTATATCCAGCTACATATCTATCTACAATCATCCCTCGGAATGAAACGTGTTTTCCAGGGACACAACAAAAGCGACGGGAAAACACCGGGAATCCATGGGAACCCCCGCCTCAATGCCAGCGGCGGCCTTTTTCACCGCCTCGGCGAAGGCCACCTGCCCCGTCAGCAAGACCTGGCGGAAAATCATCGGAAAATCATCGGAAAATCCACCCAGTTCAGGATCTTCCTATCACATCTACCCTCTGGTAATTTAATATAGCTATTGAAAATGGCCCATAGAAATAGTTGATTTACCTATTAAAGATGGTGATTTTCCAGTTCGCTATGTAAACGTTTACCAGAGGCTATCAGTTAGTTACTTTGGAAATCGGAATATCCCAGCCATGTGGGATCATATAACCACCACAGGAAATCTTAGGGAACTGCTTCCATCGTTGCCTTTGAAAAAGGCACCAAAACAGATCCAAAAAAGTTGAAGCTGAAAGGAAAAAATCTCAGACACACACAAGAGATAGAGGCAGAAGTTGCCAAAAATCCATGGCAAAAAATCGTAAAGCTGTGGCTTTTCTCAGTTTCTGCATCTGCACCTCCAAGTTCACCAGCGCCGGCTCTCGGAGGACTTGTCCCAGCATGGTCCCCAGCACCTGGCGTTCTTCGCGAAGATGCGATTCTTCTGCTTTAGAGATCTGCGGTGAAAATATCGGCCCAAGGTGAGATAATTTCCTGAAAAACTGACCCGGACTTACCCTCTGGTAAACTAACATAGCTATTGAAAATGGCCATTTATAGTGAGTTTTCCCATTAAGAATGGTGATTTTCCATAGTTATGTTAGTTTACCAGAGGGTATGATGTTTTTCTAGTGAAAATGCATGTGTTTTTTCTTTTTCCATTGATAGAACAAGGGGATGAGAAATGGAAAAACGGGTATTTCACCAGCACCAAATTAGGAGGCACTGGGATGGTCAGGAAACATGTGCAACGAACCATGATGCATCATGAAACCCTTACCTGATTTCAACCATTCTCAAACCAATCCACAAATTCTTAAACATAGAAAATGTATGAAAATGGATGAAAATGGATGAAAATGTAATCAGTACCCTCCATTATAAATCAACCATAGCTGGAAAATCCTCCAGCTATGAAAATCCTCCGGCTTTTCCCAGCACATTGAGCACCTCTGGATCATTCCCGAAAACACCGCAGCCCACATCAGGACAAATCAGGACCTGTCAGGGGGCTGCAGGGCTGCAGAAATTGGAAATACCGCAAGATGACCACCGTGGCGAAAGGCGAAATATGGAAATTGTCCAATTTCATCCACAAAATGTTGAACCGCATGCAATAATCATGGTCTATAATAACTTGAATATGTATTACTTCAATAGAAAGTCGTGAAATTTCAATTCGACATATGCATGAGATGGAATGAGATGGAATGAGGTAGACGCTCTTCTTTGACAAGCGTTCGACAAGTCCACAGTTGCCAAATGGATCAAAAGTATGTCAAGCAGGAAGGCTAAATAAAGCACTTTCATGCACTTTCCAGAGAGTTCTCTTGGAGAGGGCGTGTGTTTAATCTGGATCCAGCATATTCCACCAGACTCTCTGCTTGTTGCAATAATAAGCCTATCCATCCATGGGTTTAAAAAGGGACCCCAATGATGGGACCCTAAAAACCCATAAACTCCGAAAAACTACTGGGGGTTTAAGTGAACATGAATACAATCTTAGCATCCAACTAACATGAACCCGATTTTCAGGGTCTACCTGAAGGAGTTGGCTTCGGTGCAATCAGGAAAAACACTGGAACATCACTGATGCCGACCTTTGAATGACCCATGTGTCCTCAGGGGTTTCATTCTTACTCCCCAGTCATCATCTCTATTCTGAAAACATGCATCATCATCCTAAATCCATCCCCAAGTCTCTTGACCTTTAGATCCTGGAAAATCTTTACCCTCTGGTAAACTAACAGTTCGCTTTTTGGAAAATCACCATGCTTCTCATAGGTAAATCATCATAAATCATCTATAGAATGGGCTAGCGCCCAGGTGCCGCCGACCCCCCTTTATTTGGGGGGGACTGTGGAGAGAGAGAGAGAGAGAGAGGGAGAGGGAGAGAGAGAGAGAGAGAGAGAGAGAGGAGAGGGAGAGATGGATGGATGGATAGATGGATGGGGATGGATGGATGGATGGATGGATGGACGGATGGACGGATGGATGGATGGATGGTGGAAGTCAAAGCGTTTCAATGAAATGTGCGTCCTAGGTGGGGGAGAAATTTCTGGAAGTCGGTGCGATGTTGCGTCCAGTTGGTGTTTGTCAGTTTGTGTTTTCTCCAATTGGTGGTTTATCGTGAGTTTTCCATGGATACCATGCAGATGGTTGTAGCTATTCCCTTGTGTTTTGGGAGTTTTGTACATCACTTGTGGCTCGCTCATGGCAAGATTCATACAAACACCGACGAATACTGGGTCGATGTTATAACAAGTGCCTATAGGGAAAGGCCCGCATAGGCAGCACCTATCACTTTAACTTACTGATGTATTTTTTGGCACTTCGCATAGGCACACGATGCTTACCTGTCATATCTATTTAGGTTTACCCACTATAATCCCAAAGATGAAAGTCGTGGCAATTGTAGATATACTTGTTTTTCAAGCTTGCGTCCCTTTGTCTCCCCTATGCCCCCCTCTGTCTCCCTTACTCGCCCTTTGTCTCCTCTTCTTTCTCCTTGCTCTTGCCTACAGCTTCTGCTTGGCTTGGCTTCCTCTTCTGCTCCTCCGCTGAAAGTTCTTGAGCCTAATTGTTCTGAAAAGAATGCGAAAGCGTGTGGCTACCAAAGAGTGTGTCAATGGAACTAAGGGGGTCAGTCTCCCAAAATCTGATTTCGGACCTCGTTTGGACCTGGTTAAAATTGCAGCCAGTCAAAACCCAGCCCGGAGAGGTTTTGGAAAGGCTTTGCAATGGTCTGCTGCTTGGTCTGCTGCTGCCGCTGTTGTTGTTGCTTGTGTTGCTGCTTCTGGGCAAGGCGCGGTTTTTTGGGCAGAGAAGCAAGAGATTTGTGAAAGGGCTGGAAGCTTTTGCCTGCCTCAGAATCAGTCCACTTTGACTGTCGGTGTGCCAATAGGATTTCCACCTGGCGAAAGATTAGTGATGTCTGGCGTAAGCGGTGTGCCATGCGGCTGGCGCAAGTTCTAGTAACTGGCGTAGGTATCAATGTGTGGAGACGCGTCCTGATGGGGATTTAGAAAATTTGGCCAATATTTTGAAGATTATGGGGCATAACTGCGCACACGTGTCCTAATGGGGATTTGGAAAATTTGGCAATAGAAAAGTGCACTGCCAGGGATCTAAACGTAACACTTCTACATAGTGCGTCCCATGCAGTTTTAGACCTGGTTGCACTGACTTGTTCGACTTCCTGAATGCGCGGCGTCCCATGCAGTTTTTACCTTGGTTCCACATATGCACTGACTTTCATGTCCCAGTGTAGGGTCACCAAGGACCCATGGTTAGCCATAGTTGCTGCTATATTCATGATAGATGTATAGATATATAGATACATTCCGCAGTTGCTTGGGGCACCTGAATAGGCACCCTGTATCGCAATGAAAGTGGGTCAAGTCATGGAGGCAACCATGGTCGACGGATGTCAATGGCAGGTTCGTTTTCCGTTTATTTGGTTTAAGAGATCCTACAGTCGTGGCATTGAAATGCATTGATCGTCTTGACCCACCAGGTGACAAGAATCCACCAAAAGGTTTAGGTCTCTCACTGGCAGAAGATGCTCTGTTTTTGTTTGGTTTCGGAGCTAGACACCAACGCCGGAAGCCATGCGCAGAAATGGTGCTTGATAGAAAAGTGAGTCTTTCTGATTGGTATAGACAAATATATATATATATATATATACATACACATATGTGAATTCCGATGTATACAGTAGCTGTTTTGCTGAAGTTTCCTGATTTTCATGTGACTATGATGGCAGCTGAACTTGCAGCAAGCACCATGCAAAAATTAGAGGCCTGTTTCTGCCCCTCCCGCAGAAGACAATATAGGATTGGCATAAATCAGCGACGTGGTGTGTCCAGCAGCACGCTTAGAGTGCTAATTCTGAGGTACAATACTCACCTTCCGCTTAATTTTGGTTGGTTATGTAATAACACCATCATGACCATCATGACATCATTACATACCAATCCCAATCAATACCCACATGTATCTATATATATATATATTAAATATAAGTACCCAATCAACTACCATTTTTTTAACAGTTTGATTTTTCAAAACACTCGGTTGTTGCCATCCAGATATGCTCTCCTCGTGCCCAAAACGGGCCGCCCTCGAAGAGGGTTCCAACTGAGACACGGCACCACGTGCAGCTAAAAGGTGCCGCAGTGGTGGGGCAAAGTAACATCGATGTGGAACATCACCATGAATTAATAAGAAAAAACAATTTCAATGGGCCAGTGTTCCAGTTTTTTTTTGGTTAAGCCTGGAGGATCATCCCATGCACGGATGGTAAGTGATTCGAAGTCATTGCTGTGGATCTGGGGTGCCTGCTAGGGACGGTGTTTGGAGGGTTTGGCGGGTTTTGGAGGGTTTGGAGCGTTTGGAGAGTTTTGGAGGGTTTGCGGGCTGGCAAACGGTAGCTTTGAAAGCCCATAAAAAGTCTCATTGCTGTGGCCCTGGCCCTGGGGGTTTGGAATTTTGGAGGGGATTGGAGGTTTTGCGGGCTGGCAAACGGCAGCTTTGAAAGCCCATAGAAAGCATTGCTGTGGCCTGGCCCTGGGGTGCCTGTTGGGGAAGTGGCCTTGGCCCTGGCCCTGGGGTGCCTGTTGGGGAAGTGGCCTTGGCCCTGGGGTGCCTGTTGGGGAAGGTGTTTGGAATTTTGTTTTGGAAAGTTTGGAGCCTTTGCGGGCTGGCAAACGGGAGCTTTGAAAGCCCATAAAAAGTCTCATTGCTGTGGCCCTGGCCCTGGGGGTTTGGAATTTTGGAGGGGATTGGAGCCTTTGCGGGCTGGCAAACGGCAGCTTTGAAAGCCCATAGAAAGCCATTGCTGTGGCCTGGCCCTGGGGTGCCTGTTGGGGAAGTTGCCTTGGCCCTAGGGTGCATGTTGGGGAAGGTGTTTGGAGGGTTTGGAGAGTTTTGGAGGGTTTGCGGGCTGGCAAACGGCAGCCTTGAAAGCCTAAGAAAGCCAGCTTTGAAAGCCCATAGAAAGCCATTGCTGTGGCCTGGCCCTGGGGTGCCTGTTGGGGAAGTGGCCTTGGCCCTAGGGTGCATGTTGGGGAAGGTGTTTGGAATTTTGGAAGTTTGGATCCTTTGCAGGCTGGCAAACTGCAGCTTTGAGGCCCATGGAAAGTCATTGCTGTGGCCCTGGCCCCCCAAACTGCAGCTTTGAGGCCCATAGAAAGTCATTGCTGTGGCCCTGGCCCCCTGTTAAGGCAGCTTTGAAAGCATCAAGAAAGTCATTGCTGTGGATCTGAGGTGCCTGCTGGGGACGGTGTTTGGAGGGTTTGGCGGGTTTAGGAGGGTTTGGAGCGTTTGGAGGGGTTGGAGGGTTTGGAGAGTTTTGGAGAGTTTTGGAGGGTTTGCGGGCTGGCAAACGGCAGCTTTGAAAGCCTAAGAAAGCCATTGCTTGGTGGCCGGCCCTGGGGTCCTGTTGGGGAAGTTGACCTTGGCCCTAGGGGGCATGTGGGAAGGGGTTTGGAAATTTGGAAGTTTGAGATCCTTGGAGGATGGCAAACGGCCCAGCTTTGAGGCCCATAGAAAGTCATTGCTGTGGATCTGAGGTGCCTGCTGGGGACGGTGTTTGTTGTGGAAGGTGTTTGGAATTTTGGAAGTTTGGATCCTTTGCAGGCTGGCAAACTGCAGCTTTGAGGCCCATGGAAAGTCATTGCTGTGGCCCTGGCCCCCCAAACTGCAGCTTTGAGGCCCATAGAAAGTCATTGCTGTGGCCCTGGCCCCCTGTTAAGGCAGCTTTGAAAGCATCAAGAAAGTCATTGCTGTGGATCTGAGGTGCCTGCTGGGGACGGTGCTTGGAGGGTTTGGCGGGTTTAGGAGGGTTTGGAGCGTTTGGAGGGTTTGGAGGGTTTGGAGAGTTTTGGAGAGTTTTGGAGGGTTTGCGGGCTGGCAAACGGCAGCTTTGAAAGCCTAAGAAAGCCATTGCTGTGGCCATGGCCCTGGGGGCCTGTTGGGAAGTTTGCCTTGGCTAGGGTGCA